ATTAAGATACATATTGAGATTTCTGGAGAATGTCAATTCGAAGATCACAAGAGGACATTACCAAACAGAAAGCTGTATTGCGTTAGAGGAACTTACTCGGTGGGTTAGATCCCAAAAATGTGAAATTGGCTTGGAATGATACATCTGTTCGATCCAAATTTGTGTCATGTTGGTACCTATAACTGGTGTGTATCATCTGACCACTCAAAAAGCTAGAGTTTTCAAGATCACTTGTTCGAAAACCGGAAACGAGGATAGGCTACTAATTTAACTTTGTTTTGGTTACCTAAATTTTGTTTGTTGTAATTCTTTATAGGCTATACAAATAGAAGATGTTGAAGATTGTTGTAATCTCTGTACTCAACTTCTTATACTTCCATACTACTTGAATACAAACCAGAGATTAATGTCCATGTAGATACAGAGCTTCAAGAACCAACATTGATGCGGTTTTGTATTGTTGTACCGAATTATGAACCGGAAACCAATTCCGGTTTGATATTGGGGTCTTATTGATAAAAACAAAATAAAGTATAGGGAGTAATTATACGGAAAATAATAGATTTAATCCCGAAATATTTGCAATTGATATTTTTTTCTTTAACTATATGGTTACACGGTCATCAATTTATTGTTGATTTTACAAATTGACGATTAAAAAAAAAAATTTAAAAATACTAATTAAACAAAGTTTGCTATCTCGCCGGATAAACCTAATAAAAATCAAAGTATTTTAACTAAAATTTTTTTATTATTTAAAAATTATTATAATAAAATTAGAAATTAAATTTTTGTTGTAAATCAAAGTATCATAGCAGGGTTAATCCTATGTACAAAAGACTCGAGGTTTTCAAACGTTTGAATCGCAAAAACACTATTCAAAATTATGGTCGGTTTGAACTGGTGTAGGTAAAATTTTGGGATTTAAGATTTAACTCTTACAGAAATGTTGCAGGGAAAGATGTCACACCAAAAAAACAATAACTACCTGTGGGACTGGACCAGCATGGTGAGTCAATCAGAGAGTTATACACCATCTGAGGAGTTTGAGCTACTTCGTGAG